CGCCCCGGAGCTGCCTCTGCCCCGGCTGGCGGTGGCCGCGGAGCCCGGAGCTGGTGCGGAGGAAGAGCGACCCAGAAAGTGACGCTGCGAGATGGATTCTGTGGGAGAGCCGAGAAGCGACGGGAGCCGGGCACGTGTGTTCTGGAGGGCCGCTCGTCCTGCAGCCAGGGCACCTGAACGCTCTGTTTCGCACTCTAGGACTCTTAAGGCTCCTCTCGTGGGGATTTTTGCCATACCAGAGAGCGCAGAGCTGGGTGTGACAGCCCTCAGAGACTGGCCCGGGCTCCTGGTGCTGCCCAGAGTGGGCTCTGCCCGGGGGCTGTCTGCCAGGCTGGGGCTTCTCGTACCAGTTATCATAGAGAAGGCAGGAAAAGCAATAGGGGCCCAAGTGCATTCCTTTTCTGCCCCCTCGTCCCCTCCCAAACCCATTTGTGGGTTTCAGTTGTTGTTGTGTAGGAAGTTTCCTTTAGAAAGTTTTCTGTCTGCACTGCAGGGAAAATTTGTGTCTATGGAGAAGTCTGTTTGTGTTGAGAAAGAAGCCTCTTGAGAGACTGTTCCAAGGTAAACACGTACCAAGGGCACACACTTTCACAGTTCTGTCACTTTGAGAAATATCTGTGCTATAAAATCCTCTCTGGAGATGTGCTGAAAGGGATATATTACATGAGAAAAATGTACTCTAATCCACGTTAAGCTATTTTGATCTCTTTTACGTCACAGGTTCAGTTCTGCAAACTACTTAAAGTGTTAAATAAATGGAAGTCTTTAGAAAACAAGAGTGTATCACATCTCAGTCACACAGACTGTCTTGGAAGGTCAAAAGATTTTTAAAAACTATGAAGAAATGTGAGGAATACTGTACTTGCCATCTGGTACTCCATGGTCTGAGCTTTGTTTTTTCTCTGCATACAAGATTTGACAAGTTGTGAAATTTCGGGAATGACATCTCCTCTGTCGCTAAACAACCCTTACAAGTACTTTTGAATGTAAGATATATAAGAGACATTTTTGGAAAATGAAAGAGTAGCCCCCTCCCCCCCCATAAAAGTGATTTGCCTTTAAAAAGACAAAATAAAGCAGCCAGTCCCCTCCTTCCCTTCCTCCTCCCTGCCTATCCCCCCCCTCGCCTCCCCACACACATTCATGGAGTATTCCAAAATATGCAGTCCCTCCCCATCAGCTCTCATTCTCCTGGGAAATACCTCAGGAGCCATTTCCTGTAAGCAAAAAGGTACCACTGGGACAGACTAATTTAAGGCTGCAGTCAAGACTAATGCTCGTTAGTGCTTTTCATCCATATTTTTCCATGTCTAGTGTCCACAGACTCAATATGGTTGTGCTTACTGTTGTAGCAACAATACAATAACGAAAATGGCACAGCCTTTTCCAAAGGATTCCCATAGATAAAATTTCTTGATCTTTTCTTTCCAAAGTACCTCTTTCTTAATCTACGAGCAGTAAAGGTTTCCTCTGCAGTTGTAAGTTCCTCTGAATTCTGAGTTTAACAACACTCATTACACTAAATAAAAATGCTTTAGAATCTCTAAGATTATTACATGTAAAATAATACAGTAATAATTACATTATTACTGGTAGCTGGGTGGATTTCAGCTGTGTTCCTTTATCTCCACTGCATGGGCAAGGGGATGCAGGAGATCTGTGTGCCATAGGTCACAAAAATGTACCAGGAACAATGGGAACATTTCTCCTAAATTTTTGAGCAAACTTAAACAGAGAATCACCCTCCCTCCTCTTCACCTCCTGCCTAAGAAACATCCGTGAATGATCAGTTTTGAAAGAACAGTGAGTCTTCACATAAAAGAAATCATAAATAGCCCACTGTGTTTTCAAACTAGTTTTTTTATGGTATCACAGCAGCCATGTAGGGAATCAGATATGGAGAAAGGAAATAGTTGTATCGGGCTGGGGTACAAATGCTCAGGCACTCTTTCCAAAGAGCAGAATTAGTGCTGTGGAATTTAGAAAGGTCATCTCTGCTTGTGTTGGCTTTGCCTGTGACTTTGTTGCTCCACTCCATCATCTGTGTATCTTTCTGAATCACTGCAATGCTTGGTTTGTTTTTTTTTTTCCTTTTTGAAATCTGAATACACATCAAGCATGTTTTAAAGCTACAACTGCTCCAAGCCAACTGCTCCAGCTAAGTTGGCTGCAAGCCTGGATATTAAAGGGAGGAATTCAGTCTTGGAAATTTGACAGCATCAATGGTCTTTAGGTCCCTGGTGTCTTTCAAAGGGGCCCTGAATGTCACTGCTCCACTGAAACAGCCTTTTCTAGCAGGTAACCCATCACTAAATAGATCAAAACCAATTTGTCACAACTGTAGCTCTTAGAGTTAAAAAAACTTATTAAAAAAAGAACTCGGCACCCTCCAAAAAAATAAAACCCCAACAGTTTGGAATTTGTTTTCAAAAGGGCATTCAAAATAAATTCCTTGACAACTGTTATTCCAAATGATTTGGACAAATGCAAACAGCGCCTTATCCCATGGGAGGCATCATAGAGGGACCCAGTTCCACACCTCTGGCTCCACCTATATTAGAAAATGAAAAATAAGCCAAGGGATTCAACTCCAATGCAATTGTTTCCTTTGCTGGTCATGGATTTGTTTCAGAACATAGTGCAAGCAGGAAAGGGCTTGGAAAACTCTGCATGTTTATGGGACAGGGCTGGAAACTTTGCTGCTGTCAGATCTCCATGACGCTGTTGTGGGAGCAGCAGCTCTGAGGTCTCTCTCTGACAGAGCCACTCAGACAGACCAGGGCTGAGCAGAAGGAAAAAAATTATCAACTAATAGGAATATCTTGTTTTATTCTTCAGAATTATTACTTGATAGTGAAGATAAACTATGTGAAAGAGTTTACCAACACACAGGATCAACTGATTCCACCGTGCTCCTGGGTTTGTTTTCCACACTACAGTGCTGCAAACACACAGTGTGACTCAGGGATTGCCATGCTGCTGACACTGCTACCTGTGCATGTAATTCTCTGATGTCCAGTGGCCCTAATTAGATGAACAAATGTGGGAACTAGCTAAGAAACTTCAGCAAATCTGGGTCTGTACTGTCAGTGAGCTGAAACCAGGGGGGACCCTCCTTTTCAAACTCTAACTAACCCTAACCCTTCAAGCACTATATCATGGGCTGCATCTGAGAGCAGGAGACTGGGTTAGCTGGAGCATGGGTCAGATCTGTAAAAAAAATCTGTGTTCCTGTGCCATGGCTTGGAGGGTAACCTTTGATGTGTGAAGGCCAGCCCATGACATCCTCCCTACACAATGTCATTTAACACAGCTGCCCAGGCTTATTCTTGTTCTCAAGCCAAAGGCTGAGCTGGCCCCTGCTATAGAAGTAATACACGCTATAGTCATTGTGACCTCCTCTCCCTGATTTACATGGTGTTTCCTTTAGCTGGCATCCTGTTTGCCTGGTTCCTTTGTGTGTTGTAGCCTTATTCTGGGCTGAAAATACCATCAGGGTTTCTACACAATGATTGAGCATGTCTGAAGAGCATGAAGGGTACTAAAAGAAATACACTTCTAAATGGCAGATGCTCCTTTTTCTTTCCTCCTTCTGGGCAAAAAGTCAGTTTTATAACAGATTTCTTGCCACCCCCACATCAAGTATGCATTTCCCATGCCACTGGTGCCAGTCATTGCCCTTTCTTGCTCTCAGCCTGAGGACCCTTACCTCTCATGGCTGACTTGCCGCTTTGTAAAGACTTTTTTTCCCAATTAGCAGTATGTTCCCTCACTGCCTGCCTAGTACTCATTAGAGTGGGGTGACACATAGTTTTGCTGCTAGGTCAGGCAAAAAAATGTATTTACAACATACTCAGGTTCTCCCTCAGGTACACCCTTCCTCTCCCCCCAGCTCAGGGCTGTGCTCCTGTTTGCAGTACAAACACAGAGCGTGTCTTGCTGCAGGATTAGGAAACACCTCGCTCCTGTTTTGGCCAAAGTTATTCGGCCAAGGTGTTGCTTCTTTTGTCTCATCTTCTACATTTCCATGCTTACAAGTCCAGCCAGTTCCAGTGGGGTTAAACCATCATTTGGTTGTAAACAGCCACATAAAAATTCACAATCCACTGAAATTGGTGGGGTAACTCCTTGGTTGCCCCCTGTTCTCCTAGTTCAATGAAACTTTAATCACATCAGTAAACCCAGCAACAATGGGCCATGATTTAATCAGTGTGATAATTAGGTTTTGCCTTGCTTCTGTTTCAGAGTCCTGCAGACTCAGAGGAGAAAGCCTCTGGATTAGCAAAGTTGTATTTTCTAAACAGTTTTGCAGAGATTTGGGAGGAACCGGAAAGGGAAAGAGCTGGAGAACAGGTCTTTAGATCTTTAATAGTAATGGCATGAGGAAGACTCTCTTCCCGTGCCTGTTCTTGTCATTGCCTGCCTGGAAATAGCTTGACACAAAGCTGGTTTGAAAGGGCAGGAATGTCTATTTGCATTGGGACTGTTTAATCAGAGGTAGAATAGCAGACTGGAACTCAGGGCTTGATTCCCAGCTGGAAAGAGCACCTTCCCAGCTCTGCAATCATGCACTGGGTCTAGTTGAGGCAGCTGAAAGGCAGGAGTTCCCTGGGTGCAGGAGACCTGTGACTTCCTTTTTTCCCTGAGCAAAGGCCAGGTCACCCGAGAATTCTGCTTTGTGAAGCTGATGTTGAAGTCTTCTTCATGCAAACTACCCCAGCAGAAACACTGAAGCAGCAATGATTTGTCCTGCACAGTGACAGAGAATAAGCCTGGGTAAGATCCATTACAGAACGCTAACAGAGGCCCCAAAGCACACTCAGGGGAAACTTTCAAGCACTGGTAATAATTTCCCTCCAGGTTCCACCCTCCTGTCTCACTGCAATGTAACATCATTGCAGCCAGAGATTTAGTGGTGTTGGATTAAGTCCAGATTTCAGACCTGGTCCTGAACTCTGCCTTTCATCTCTCCTTGATAGAGGCCTGTTGAAAAAAGCACAGCCTCAGTATTGGTACAGAGGGGAGGACTGCACAGTGGGGGCTTGGGTTTGTTTCTTTTCACTTTCCTTGAACTTGAACATACCTATTGGGATTCTATACCAACAAAACAACCCTTCTTAAGAGGGACCAAGCATGGGAAATATGAAGTCAAATACTCAATGGAAGCAAACTCGGGATGACAGCCAATGTTACAGTGTGACCTGTGGTGGTGTCTGGTATCTGCTGTAACAGTACACTGATACAGGGTCATTTCAACAGAAAATACTCTAAATTTTGATAGGCTCAGAGAGCCTTTTCTATGGCCATATTTCAAAGCTTTTGAAAGGTAGTTTAAACAGATGATTAAAGCTGTGTATTTTCTAAAATAGTTTGAAAGGAGTTGATGTGGTTGTTAGAGTACACTCTGTCTCCTCAGACAGTTGAGGAGATCTCATCAGATGTCGTCAGTCCCCAAGAGAGGCTGGAGTCAGAGGTGTGTGCTGCTTGGTCTGGACATTCAGCAGCTGCTGAAAAGCTGAGTGTGCTAAAAATGGGGTTTTGTTGCTCTGTGTCCTCCAAGGGCTGGGGACAGGTGAAAGTCCCAAGCCCTGTGTGCTAGCTGAGGGCCCCAGGTACCATCTTTGCACATTGCAGTGGCTGTGAAGTCACCCACAATTTCATCCTGCAGTTCAATCACGTCACAGAGCTGCTCCTCATCATTAATGGACATTAGAGCTCCTCCCTATGCCCACAGCAGCTCGTGGTTGCCGGTTCTTTGTGACTGGCCATTTATGGGAAAATATGTGCTTTTGGGAGTATGAGTTTTTGCCATGGAAGCACTCTGCCTATGCAGACAGGGTTGTTCTTCTTGCCAGCTTCCAGCCTTAGTCCTGTGTACATGATTTAGCCTTTGGAAAAAGAGGTGATCAGTGCACCCCACGTGTGTTTGGAGAGGAATGCACAGCAGCTTGTGAAAATGATCTAGTGCATGTGTTGAGCACCAAGAATGTCAGCACTGAGGGCTCTGCAGGGGCAACCCACAGCTCTTTGTGGTCATTGCTGAGAGCAGTTCTGAGCAACAACCGTCAAACAGCCACGGCTGTGAGGAGCACAATGCACATCCTGGAAAACTGGACCCCCAGGAGCACCTTCCTTCCTTCCTGTTTCAAATGGATTAGTTATGAGGAGCAGGGCAAAGTTCAGAGGGCTTACCCAAAAATTATTTTAACCTGAAATAAGAGAAATAAGACCTGGGAATAGTCCTCCAATCTGGGATTCAGGATCAGGAACTCCACAGGAGACACCTGTACTGCGTGGCACAGGTTACAACTGATGGGCTGAGCTTTCTTGCCTGTGAGCTGTGGGCTGGGGCATCTGAGCTGTGAGATAACCTGAGCTGTGAGATAACCTGAGCTGTGAGATAACCTGAGCTGTGAGATAAACTGAGCTGTGAGATCAGCAGCACCAACAGGCTGTCTGTGGCTGCAGACCCCATATCCCAAGAGGAGCACATGTGAATTAAGGTGACACACGTGATGTGTGTTTGTAAGCTCGTGGCTGCAGTGTGTTTTTGGAGGGGTGTGTTTACAGATGTTTTTGGCCCACTTAAAATATCCTTGGCAAGAGGCAATTCTGTGAATCTGAACCAAGCCAAACACACCTCTGAGGTCATTACTGCCATGAGATCACCACCTAGGCACGGTGCTCAGGACCTCTGAAGGCTCCTTTTGTCTTTTAACTTTTTTTTTCACCTATTTGAAGCTGATCCAGGGCAATTACAATCCACCAAAGGAACAAACTGAAACCCTTTACAAACCAGAGCCTAACAGCAAGGCGTGGCGATGGCATGCAGGGGCTAAGACAAAGTGTGTGTTGCTGTGGTCTGATTCTTCAGAAGGACTCCAAACTCATGAAGTCAGTGTACATATCAGATTACCATGATCCTCTGGAATTTTGAGCAGAGCCTCCCACTAGGTCACTATTTCTATGTTTTTACTTGGTGGAGGATATTTATGAACAAGCTTGATTTTTTTTTTTTTTCTACTTTGCCTTCAAACCTGTTAATTTTATTTATCAACCTCTTTGGCCCATGCCAACTGCTTTTCAGGAACCTGGCTTAGCGAGGGATCTGATTTCACATGTCACTAGCACCCCAGGGTGTTTGGGGTCAACTGCCTCTTGGTCTAAGCCATGTGGGTCAGGCAGTCTCCAAACAAAGCAATTTTTTTTTTAAAGCAGAGGAGGCAAAAACTTGAACTGCAAAATGTTGAAGTTGTAGGGAGGAGTGTAGTTGGAAGGCTATTGCAATGAAGGATGAAGCTTTTGTTTTCCCTGTGGTGACACGGAAATGTGTGATTATTTCTTGTAAGAAGAAGATGGCTCAGTGACTCAAAAAGCAGGAGAAACATTCCTGGAGAGGTTGTTCTCTAATGACCCTCAGACCCAATGCTACAGCAACTCTGAAGCCTCTCTGTGTGCTCAAGGGAGCTTTGAAAAGATGCTCCTTGTTTGCTTGAAGGGATGGACAGCTCTTGCTGAACCTTGGCACCCTACCCAGACTCTTATACCACAATTTTTCTTCTTCAGACAAGGACATTGAATATAGAGGGTTAACAGGGTAAAATAAGGGTGTAGCTGGTTGAAAAGGTGGTTGGAACATCTGGGATGGAGTGTTCTGTTTGGCAGCACAGAGCAGGCGCTGCATCCTTCTCCATGCCACCCACAGACATTCTGTCTCTCATCTCATCTTTGCAATCCTCTCACACACAGCCATAACAACCTCTTTTGTCTCCTTCCCACTCCCTTGACACCACCCACCCACCCACGCATCCACTCTCTCTCAAATACTTTCTTTTCCTCTGGTTTCCATGCAGATGCCTCCCCTCTGGACCCTGTCTTGCACAACATCCCCTCCTGCCTGGCATTAGCACCCTCCCTCTCCAGACCATATGCAGAGCAGAGGCATTTCCTTTTATTGTCCATGCAGCTCCTGCAGCCCCACCCAGCTCCCGTCTATTCCTTGCAATAACACATTTAGACTGGAAGTAGTGCTGCTCAGAGCAGACACACAGACAACACAGGAGAGCTGTCTTCACCCCAGATTGCTTCTACTTGTAGACTACTACTTCCTGCCTGTGGTCCCAGAGGAAGAAGCTAACTCAGACTTGGAATATGTGGTGGTGAGATGCCCTATGCTGCTCAAAGGCTGTGAGAATGTGTGCAAAGCACCTCTGTGTTCTGCTCTGCAAGACCAAACCTGGCACAAGCAGCTTCAACAAGTTCTCCAGCAGATGCTCTCCTGGGACATCTACCTGGTCTACAAAAATGAGCATGATGGGAATCAGAATAACGTGGCAACGTCTTTATGGGTGGTAAAGCACTTGATCTCCTTGTTGAGGGTGATGGCAAAAGGGCTGGAGAGGACAAGTGATGACCATGTGGGACTACCAGTTTGTATTACACATGTCACAGGCAGAACAGCTTCAGTGCAGAGAAATAACACCATAGCACAATAGCTTGTGCATGCCAAGGAAGTGACCCAAGTGACCCTAAAAGGTAAATCTTAGTAGGAGTAGGTGACAAAAAAATCCACCAGAAATAAGACCATAAGCAGGACCCTGCCCATGTAATCTATTTCTCCCTTAGAAAAGCAAATTTGGAGGCACAGAGCATTTCTGTATTGCAATAAACTGCAGCCTACAGGACCACACTGAACTTTGCAGCAGTGTCTCTGAGTTCTTTCCTCAGGGCTTCCCCATAAGGAGCTCCTGTGCCAGTCATAAGCTGGGAACACTTTTGGCTCTCCACCACTGTCCACTCAGGGGAGGCCAAACACAAGCTGGAGTCCACTATTCAATACAGAGCTCGCCAGCCCTTTCACAGCAAAGCTTTCCCTTACTCTTCCTCATCTCCAGAATTCCCAAACCCTGCCACTGCACTGCCAGCTCCACACAGAGCCCAGAGGAATGTGTTACAAGACACTTGCTCCTTGCTTTATTTATAGTGCTGGTGTGCTCTGCTATCAGGGGACACCTTGCTCCTGAAGGATCAGTGATGGTGTACAGGGCTAAGGACCCAGTGAAATCAGTGCTGCAGTATGCCAGGAGCTGCTAGTGGAGCACAGCTGATCCCAAAGTCATCAGACTCTGGTATGGGAAGGATAAATGATGCCCTGGTAATTGCTGGGAGCTGGCTGGGTGAAATATATGTGCTGTTTTGCTGGGATGAAGTTGGGATAAGATCTGCAAGCACCATGCAAACCCTGTGTCAGCACTGCTGCTGGTGGTGAAACCAGCTTCTGCCAGTTTAAAGAGAATCTGAATGTAAAATACGAGCAAAAGGACAGACAGAAACCCCTGTGGTGGTCAGTGCCAGGGCTGGGAATGTAACAACCTTGGCTGCTGAGTCCTCAGCCAGGGCAGCAGTCACTCACTCAAGCTTGCCATAGACATGCAGAAGCAAATAAATACAGCAGGGAAGTCACAGAACCTGAATACTCCATGTCTGTATCTCTAACTCTTCCTCTCCTCATTTGGCTGGAGACATTTGGCAAAGGATACTGTTACAGCCCTTCCTGGCCTGGGGGACAGCGGCAGGAGCAAAGGGCACTGAATCCACCAGCCCTAACCCTTGATACACCACAGCTGTCCGAGAGTGGTGAGGACCATGGGCACGTGGCAAACCTGATTGCTGCCTGGAGATGGTTTTAATAGAGAAATCTCACATTGGGATCACTTCAAACATCTCTGCCTGCTGCCTAGAGCAGGAAGAGTACCTGTAGGCTTTGAGAGGTGATCAGTGCTGCTTTCTGGAAATGTCTGACAACCGCAGTCCAGTAAGAACTACCGACTCTCCTTGCCAGGGAACTCATTGCCAGAACTTTGTTCAAAGTTTGACTAATTAGGCACTTAATTACTTTTGTGTTATATGTAAAAGGAAACCCTGTTAGCCAAGACTTTTGCCACACAGACAGATGAGAGGCCAACATTTTTCCAGCCAAAACTAATGAATCTGATGAAAATTTGGTGAAAATTTGCAAGCACTCAGACGTAAAACCTCCCAGTGCATAGACCTCATTTCATCTTATGGCTTGCCAGACTTGGTTCACAATACTTTCCTTCCCACTCCATGTTTTGAAGTGTTAATAATGCTTTATTAAAGTGAGGACTCTTGTGTTCCATTGTTCTGTATCATTTCTACTACTAAAAATATAACTACAAAAGGTCACAAGAGCACTTTCTCAGTGTGAAGACATGCAAGTCCTCTGGCTTTGTAGTCTGACTGGGCATAATCCCATTAAAATTCATTAAAAACACCATGTCCAGGTGAATTAGAGCCTTCTGGTTTGCGTTGTAATGGAATTATGTGTTTTTCATGCTCAAAATAAGCAAAGCTACCTCTTTATGGCCCCTCCCATCTCATATAAAGATATATTTAGGTTTAATTGTAAAGTGCTTCACAGTTCTTGGGAGAAAAGTTCAAAGTGCCAAGTAATCAAACTGCTGCAGTTATCAGTTTGGTCCCCTATTAAAGATGCTGTGATGTACATCCTTATTAGAGAGGGGAACCTTATCATGAGGATGAACTCCTATCAATCTTTTCTTTTGGTGTGTTGGATTCCAGACTTCCCTT